ACATTCTGTCACTCACTTTGAAGAGCTATTACTAGTCCCTCCTGCAGTTGTGAACTGCAGCAACTCTTGTGGTTATAATTTATGGTGACTCAGACATGCATCCTAGGATGCAATTATGCACTTTTATATTGATCAAAGGCCACATAAATCAGATATTAAGTTAATCATTATGTATAGTATATAGTTAAATTACTATACTATAGAAATATAGGCCTCATCTGAACTTGAAATGACAGCAGGTAAAAAAAAAAATTGTCCATTTTTCTATCCATTGCAATATCATCTTTTTAAGACCAGCTATTTGACTACAAAATCTTTGTAAGTTGGAGTCCTAAGTGTGCCCAACGTTGCCTTCAGTTAAAGCAGTGATACATATGCACACCAGTCCTTTACAAATTGCTATTTATTTTTGGTTTTATTCTTTATGTAAAAATGTTATATGCTTAGATGAGATGAAAGTTGAGGATTACTGTATCTAGAAGGTTTAGAGCAGCAATGCTCATCACCAATTAGTCACAAGTTCCACAGAAGATATAAAACTATGTTGAATGATTAGGCAGGTACTTTAGTATTTGGGGGGGGGGGAAGGGGTGGCATGTCTACAATGAATTACCTTCTTTGAGGTTTCTGAAATTTGAAAACTGAAATACTTAACTGTAACTACATTAAAGTAATTGTTCCCATAGTAGAATGGGGCAAAGTAGAGTTACAGTAGTTTGGACTGCCATAACTCAGCATCTACATAGTCCTAATCTGTGGGGGAGTATTATTTGTTAAATACAATCTGCATTTTAATTTCCTGGCTCTGATACTCCTTAGAACTACAGTATTCTTGGAAGTGTGGGCCATTCCTTCCCCGACACACAAACATTCATATCAAACAATAACTTTACAATCTAACTTTCAAGATACACCTTTTATCTAGATTAGTCTCCTCTTCCCTCCCTTTCCACCCTCATCCAATTTCAAAGAGGACATCATGACCTTCCTGCCTTTGACATGTCATTAACAGCTGAAGATAGAAGGAGACCTATTCTAATTAAGACATTTAGCATCCCACTACTATAAAAAAGAGGGAACCATTCAAAATGCAGTCTAAGTCTCATTGAGATACTGTATCTGATTATGCATAATTTATTTGCTTTACTATGAAAGTCACTGTAGTACCTAAGCATTTCACAGATATTAATGGGTGTATCCTCACAATACCCCTGTAAAGATAGGGAAATGTTATCCCTATTTTACATATGGGGGTCCAAGCCACATAATTTTGTCTACATAAGGGAAGTTTTCTAAAGAGCTTCCATTTGTGTTAGCTACATTGTTTACACGAGGGATCCCAAGGTTTCATATTGCAGAAATTCACATAGTCATTTACTTGTGCAGTCAAACGGATACAAGATTAAAGAACTACTGAGAACACAGAAAAACTTATCTACATCAGTATTCCCAGCCTGCAATATTGGCAAATTTAGGTGCTTCTCCTAGTGTAACCATAGCCTGCAAGATAAAGGCCCAATCATGCAGTCAGATTGGTGTAGGCAAGCTTCAAAACAGCTCTGCACCCTTCCACCAATCTGGACCTCTGATACCAAGATCAAGACCTTAATGAATTACCCAAGGTGGTCTGTTGCAAAGCCAGAAAACTTCTGAGTCCTAGTCCAGTGCCTTCGTTATAGAACTACCTCAGGCCCCAACAAGCAACACTTAAATATATGCTTAATTTTAAATATGCGCTTAAATTATTTGATAGAGCATGACCTCAGTTCACAGATACAAGTTTAATATATAATTAGAAATTGTTGAAATGTTCCTCCCTGTTATTCTGTATTTACATGTTTATTTTCTGATGTTCAGCAAAACATATCCATTGCCAATTTTCATTTGAAAGACCCACTATCAACTTAAGTTTGGCCTGATTTAGAAAATGTTAAGCCTTTGTGAACAGAAATTTTTTCTACTCTTTACAATTCAAATGGAAGACATTTTATGCATACCTTTGCAGTGTTTAAAAATAAATAAAAACAAACCATAAAAGCAGTATGAAATGGATTATGAACACATGCCACTGAATTCATAGTCCAAGATGAGAGAAATGCAAGTAAACAAATACCATAGTGATACATTTAGTAAGACGTGTTAAAATCTAGTGTAAAGTGTTTGTACTAAAACCTCCTTATCTATAACTGTATTTGTGAACCTTGACTATTCTTTTATCAAAACCAAACTATTTTGAGCAGTGGGGGTTGGATTCATAGAGGGCACTAAGGCTCAGCATTGTAGTGCTGAACTTTCAGGTGCCATGCTGCCAAGCGACATTCACAATCCTCAAGTTCAGCACCTAGACCAGTGGTTCTCAAACTTTTTTTTTTTTTTTTTTTACTGGTGACTCCTTTCATACAGCAAGCCTCTGAGTGCAACCCCCCCCCTTATAAATTAAAAACTCTTTTTTATATATTTAACACCATTATAAATGCTAGAGGCAAAGCGGGACTTGGGGTGGAGGTTGATTGCTTCCCCCTCCCCCCGTAATAACCTCGTGACCCCCTGGGGGTCCCAACCCCCAATTTGAGAACCCCTGGCCTAGACACCCTGTACAATGCATAGGGAGAGCTGGACACCTAAAAAAGGAATTCACTGATGCCAGCACACTGAGGGGGTCCTGCTGAAGCTAGCCAGTAGGAAATGTTGAGAAGAGGAAGTTAAGTGCCCAAGTCCACCTCCCTCCACTCAGGATTCAGGCAGAAACCCTCTCCTAGAGTTAGATCCACTGCGCTTAGATGCCTTTTTACCCAGAAGCCCAGTTACTAAAGCACTCACAGAAGATGTAGGAGTATTTTGGAGTGGGTTTCTCTTGACTGCTCCTGTTGAAGCTGTTCCACTTTGTATAAAATAATTGATAATTCATCAGGCCAGAAAGAGACTCTATAGCCCAGTGTTTAGGGCACTCACCTGGGATATGAAAGACCTATTCCACATTATGAAGACCATAGATTTTAACCCAGGCCTTTCATATCCCTCATGACAGTGGTTTTCCAACCTTTTTTCCCATTTGCAGACCCCTAAAAAATTCTGAGTGGAAGTGCAGACCCCTTTGGAAATCTTTGACATTGTCTGCGGCCCCCAAGGAGTCTGCAGACCACAGGTGGAAAACCACCGTCCTATGAGTGTTCTGACCCAATGGTTCTCACCCTTTCCAGCCTACTGTACCCCTTTCAGGAGGGTAATTTGTCTTGCATAACCCCAAGTTTCACCTCACTTAAAAACTACTTGCTTACAAAATCAGACGTAAAAATATGAAGTGTCACAGCACACTATTACTGAAAAATTGCTTACTTTCTCATGTTTACCATACAAGTCTAAAATAAATCATGAGCCCCAGGGTTGAAAAACACTGCTTTAGTATATAGAGTCTACTACTACTAGAGTATACGTGTCATTGTCTGTATGAAATTTTAGTTGGTACTGACTTTGCTAGTGCTTTTCACGTAGCCTGTTATAAAACTAGGCAAATATCTAGATGAGTTGCCGTATCCCCTGGAAGACCTCTGCGTACCAGTTGAGAACCACTGCTGTAACCACTGAAATATTGGGCAAGAGACTAGTGTCCCCTCCTGCTTTCTTTTTGGTGGACAGGGGAGAGTGCAAACTGGTAAGCATGCCAATGAAGTGAAAGGGGCTTTATTCAGGCAGCTACCTGGCATGGCTCTTTGCAGGATCAAGGTGAAATTATCATTAATTCCACAAATGTGTTTTAAGGAAATGTAATACTGACTGAAAATATCTGTCCTGGCCAAAGGTCCAAAATTACACAGAAGTAAGGGTGGCATGGTATGGTATTGCTACCCTTACTTATGCGCTGCTGCTGGTGGCAGAGAATTGCAGAAGTAAGGGTGACCAGTGCCCACAAGATGTATTGCACGCACACCAATTTCCTGGCTATCCCTCCTCAGCCCCCTCACCCCAATTAGGAAGAGGCTGGTGCCACCCCCAAAGGCGATTCTTGATCTCTAGAACTGCACTGAACATTACAAGCAAAATAAGCTTGCATGTTGCAAGTTTTTCAGCTATTTCTTTGTTTTATGATTTAGTCCTAGAACTCAGTGATTACTAGACTCAAGCACTTGACTCAAGCACCAGGAAACATTGTTCCACTGGAATCAGTGACACCTAGAAAACATTTGTTTAAAAAAAAAAAAAAAGTTAAGTTATCCTGACTATGGTCCCAACTCTGCAGAAATTTACACATATGCGTAACTTCGATGCATAAAGGTAAGTACGTGCTTAAGAGTTTCCAGGATCAGGGCCTGTGTGTAGTCATGACTGCACACCCACTGATGCACTGGACTCTCAGGTTTGACTGCTGGAGGTTTTCAGTACTAAGGCATTGTTGGAACAACAAATACGAGGGTCTGAAAATATACTTTAATTTTGTAGATAAACTAACCAATCTGATGAAAAACAGTGGCTGACTTGCTTGGAACACAGCTAGTCACATTATCCATGGCCTAACCAACACATGCTTATTGTTGTGTTAACATTTGATTTCTTTGTAAAGTCATATAAAGTAAAAGTTATACCCCTTTTATGTGCCATGTTTAAAAAAAATGGTGGGAGCATTTTCCCTATATTATAAGTAGCACAAGAAAGGGTGTGAAACCGATTGACCAGAGAGGTACTCAGGGATTCAGACAAGTTTAAGAAGTAAAGAAAAGGGTGGGAGGGGTAGAAGGAAAGCAGTCTAGCATTATCTAGGTCACTTTAGTTAGGAGCCTGAATATGCATAACATGGAGCCTGACGAAGTCACAAGATTGCCACATTTTAGGCTGACACTAACCCTGCTTGAGCTCACACCCCGGTTGTTCCTCTCTTATCCCAAGAGTCAAAGTCCCCGCCACAGCCTCCCTGGCCCATCCCACCCTTCTCCTCCACCTTCCCCACAAGGGGCACGGTAGGGCTGCCCTTTCCCCAGGGATCGCCCCCCTCATGCGAGAGTTACCTTGGAAGACGGCCAGCAGGCTGTAGGCGCTCAGGTAGCCCTCGGGGTTGTTGCACAGCTGCAGAGCCCTAGGGGTGAAGCTGCCCCATCCGCACGGCCCCTCCTCACACTCCGGCGGGGGGCGGCCGGGGGGCGAGCGTGGGCGGCTGACGCTGGCCCTGGGCTTGAGACGGAGGTCGGGGCTGGAGGGCTCGAAAGCCGGGTTCGCGATGCCTCCCCGCTTCATAGCGATACAGTCCGCGCTCAGCTCCTGCCCGAGGCAGCCTCAGCCGGGACCGGCCCCTCTAAATACTCGGGGTAGGTGGCTGCTGCCTCCCTTGGGGCCGCCTCCGCGCCTCCCTGCGCCTGGGGAGCCGGCTCGGGCGGTTTCGAAGAGCGGGGGCGGCTACGGCTGCTGCCTGGCACCTGCCGCTGTGCCCAGCACAGCCCTGGCTGAGGGGAGGCTGCGGCCGCTACAGGGGAGGGGCCTCGTGCACCTCTGCCTCCTGCCCCAGCCCGGGCCGATCGCCAGCAGCCCTCTCGCCTTCGAAAGAAAACTTTTTAAAGCTGCCTTTTCTCGGTCTGCCTTCTGCCCCCCGCCCCTCTTCTGCACGGGGGCTTTTTGCCCAAGGAACCTGCAAAATGACACCGCACCACCACTGGAAGCGTTTTGCAAATTCATGGTTATGCCTCAATACCCAGTTCTCCTTTATGTTACCAGAGTCATAATGGTTTACGTAATTAAGCATGTCAGGGTGTATGAAGTCAGGAAAAAACAGCCGGTGGAGATGGGACTAGCCTGGACTCCCAGCTAGGATGACTGCTATAGGCTCTACAACCACTGATAAGCTCCGGGGGGTGTGGATGTGAGCGACTGGCATTGTTGCCAAGAGCTATGAAATCAGACTGTAGTTGGATAGACAGAAACCCCATTGTATTTTAAAAAAAAAAAAAATTCAAGTACCTGAAAGAATTCCCTCCTGAAAGTCTCTCGCTGGAACTGAAACTTTCAGAACATCAAATGCTGCCGACAGAAAAAGCTAGAGGGTAGTTATTCCGGGTGCTGTCCTTCCTCATGCCCCAAAAGTTAGATCGGATGAAACCCATTCTGAATCACTAATCCAATTTCTGACCAAAAAACATTTTCCAACTGTTGTTTCTGAGAACAGTTTTTCCAGTGTTCACTCACAGAGACTGGTTGTGTGGTGGATATGATAGATACTTGCATCTCATAAGCCTATAAATATATTCCTGACACAGAACAAGGAAGAAGTATTACAACTTTTGTGGAGGCATCAAGTGTGAGTGTTCATCAAGTGTTTAGTGGTAGTACCAGTTTGTTTACAAAGAATAGGAATTAATCATTTTACCCCTCTGAACAAGAACACTTGGAAGGAGTCCAGGGATGATTTAATATCAATACCAGCAGGTGCTCATCACCGGGCAGTACAAATTTGTCCTAGGGGATCCTCCATCCCCTTTCATGAGTCCAAAACAGTTTAGACTCACAGAAAAGAATAAAATCGAGACAGCAGGTGTTAGAAAAGGCCTTGGTTAAGTCTCAGCGCATATGTCTGACTCCCCAACCAGGATTTCTTTCCCTTAAGCAAGCAGCCTGGAGTTTCAAGTAATCCCAGCAACTCAAGGGAGCACATAGCAAGAGGACAGACAATTTAAAATAGAGAAGGTTTGTGACAATTCAAAGCAGTAAAAGAACAATCCTTTTTGCTTTAAAAGACAACCTAACATTTAGAGCAGTGGATTGTGAAACAGAAGGAAAATACTTTAGAGCAAGGGCCGTTTTTAGAAGTCAGATGGAACGTTGGAGTCAAACTGTTCCATAGCAGTTGAGATTGACAGTTGGTGGATGATGTCACCATAACATTACCAGACCAAGGCAGAGTATGATACTATGAAAGTAAATCCCTTCACCTGCCTCACACAGACTCAGCTAAACATTCCTCTGCATTTATGCCTGTTTGTTAAATATCACTTAAGGCCCGATTCTGCTATCCTTAGTCACTGAATAGTTTCTCTGATTTCAGTTGGACTGACTGAAACCTATGTGACTACTTGAGAGCTGGTTGACTATTGAGTAGTACAGGGAGTAGTTAAGGGAAACAAGACAACTGCAGAGAAGCTACACCACTACTTTGTATTGGCCTTTAGCAAGTAGGATTTTGGGGAAGACACCTACCCTTTTTAGAGGAGATCCTGTCAGACTGAACAAACACTCTTCTCTATACCACTCTCTCATCCCTCTAGAGTCAAATGGAATACTGATCTCAATCTCACCCTACCCTGAAGCTGACTAAGCATTTGGCACAATTTATTATTAACACCATCTTCATCCACTACAAAATAAGATCCTGAAAAAATATTACTGGATTCCTGCAAGACACTTTTCAGGCAGCCTTTCAATTTCTGCTGGGTTTCAAATGTCAACATTCCTCTATGTATTTATCTCTTATACTTTGGCACTATGATAAAATTGCTTCTCTGCCGATAGAGATGTTCTATGTAATCTTATATCTACTGCAGTACATTTCTCTACATCATTTTCAGTTTCTGGATTGAGATGTGCATACACCCATTCCAAATTATCTTTCAAAGCCATTTTTAACAGTGCTACCTCTTTTAAAAAGAATCCTCCTTTGTCACTGCTCTTCTCACAGTGAATGGAAATATTGGATCACATAATGTTTACAATAGAAAAAGTTACATCAGCTAGAAATGATATCCTGAATTTATTCTATTTTACCTGGAATCTCGTACAAGATATTACACAGCTACTGCTGCCTCTTCCAAAGTACTGCCTGATCTTGCAAATGGAACTGGATGTCTACACTCGCATGTGTGGGGAGTCCCATTGGTTTCAATAGAACTCCTCACGGGAGCAGACATTGGTCTGCCTGGATTGCTTTGCAGTACTGGCAACTTAGTGAGATTACCTCACCCACCTTGTGTCTCTTATCCTGGGACCAACAGGACTACAACAGCACTGCATTCAACTTAGTAACGTCAGTCATGCCTTCGCTTTACTCCCATATTCTTCCACTTATCCTGTCACAATTATTCTCTTCCTTCTCGGTTTCCTTTCTTTTCCTCTGCTTAGTTCTTCATATCATTTGTTTGTTTTTGTTTGTTTTGTTTTATTAGTTATATTTTGAATTGTTTCACATTTTTGATAAATCTTTAAATTTATTTATGTACTTTTAAATTTTTCATAGAGGAAACACAACAAAGCTTGTAACACTTACTTTCTGTCGTGTTTTGAGTAATAAGTTTCTTGTGGATAGCTTTCCAGGAATTCTACACAGGAATGAATTGTTGTTGCTTGTTTTCGTAAATGTTTTTCCTGGGTTTTAGAATATAAAAAAAAGGTTAATTTACTTTTTTAAAACCCATATAACTTTACATATAAATGGATGCTGTCTGTAGTTATAGGATGCTACATCTGTGTATCTAAGACTAGAAAAAAAAAAAATCTATTTGAGAAATAGTATGGGATTGTGTAATGTGACAAAGTTCCACCTCTATCTTGGTGGGTCCTGCACTTACCGGTGGATTTTCTTGCCTCAGAGATTCACCAGGTGGGTTGGGGAACAACCCAGAGACCTTCCCTTCTGGAAGAACCCACAGTTCAGGTCAATTGGGAGGTTTGGGGGGAATCCGGGCCCGCCCTCTACTCCAGGTTCTAGCCCAGGGCCCTGTAGACTGCAGCTGTCTATAGTGCCTCCTGTAACAGCTGCATGACAGCTACAACTCCCTGGGCTACTTCCCCCTGGCCTCCTCCAAACACCTTCCTTATTCTCACCACAGGACCTGCCTCTTGGTGTCTGATAATGCTTGTGCTCCTCAGTCCTCCAGCAGCGCACCCGCTCCCTCTCAGCTCCTTACACCTCTTACTCCCAGCACCTCACACTCACACCACACACTGAAGTGAGCTCCTTTTAAAACCCAGGTGCCCTGATTAGCCTGCCTTAATTGATTCTAGCAGCTTCTTCTTAATTGGCTCCAGGTGTTCTAATTAGCCTGTCTGCCTTAACTGGTTCTAGCAGGTTCCTGATTACTCTAGTGCAACCCCTTCTCTGGTCACTCAGGGAACAGAAAACTACTCATCTAGTGACCAGTATATTTGCCCTCTACCAGACTCCTGTACCCCACTGGTCTGGGTCTGTCACAGTAATTAAAAACTGTCAGTCAAACTGCACTAAGTCAAAGACTGAGGACAGGTATCTTGTGCGTCCCCTTTTTAAGTCCTACTGGAGACCAGATGGATCTCGTGGCAGCAGGGGATCACCAGGTATGAGGGTTCCAGACATGCCTCCTCCCTTCTCTGTCCTTCCCACCTCAGAACAATCCCTGCACCAGGTGCACAGAGATGGCTGCATGTCTAGTGTAGAGGTCTCCTGTACCCAGGCTATTCACCAGGGTTGTGAGGGCCTTACACTGCCCTGCAACCTAATTGTGCTAGCTATGCTGATCCGAAGCAGCGGTGCTGAATCTGGCTCTGTATGCACAGTGGGGTAAATGTTATGTTTTTTCAATGGTTAACCAGGCCGATGTAATTATTTTTAGTTTATCCTTCTATTTCAAGATAGTAGTGGTGAATACTCTCTTCTTTCTTTTTATGTACTCTTCCCATCTGTGTAGGAAACATTGGTTGCTCTTCAAAATAGCATACTTCCTGCTACCACAACATCTACTTGTTTGCTTTTTATGTGTGAAATGTAGTACTTAAAAAAGGTGCCACGTTGGCACCCCTGAAAAATGAAGTCTTGCATTTATTCACAGAACAGGTACAGCATGAGTAGTGGGTGTACAAGCTTCCTCACAAATGTGCCTCACTCTGACCTTGAGCACAGCCCCATGCTCATTCAGCTTTTAGCTTCTCAGCCGAGTCTGCCAGCATTTTCATTTATGGAAAGTATGGTGGTCTTTTCTGTGATCTATATGCCAGTTCATTGCTAACTACACAGAACCAAATTCATTTAATATAGTCCTTGATTTTTCATTTATAGAAAGAGTTCAACAGCATATTTGTCTTTGAGATTGTGAATCTATTAAACAAGTCTGTAGAGAAGAGCTAATTACCTTCACTTCTTCTTGAAGGTGCTAGTTACTCCGATACACACTCACTCTCTTCACTAGAGGTGGGGAGTATTTATTATTTTGTTTATTTCTTTCTGTTCATAGTCTGACCAAACAGTAACTGATGGTTGAGGGCAATAGTAATTTGTTTCACCTGCAGATACCTGACATCTAGTGGTTGACTGTGAAACAGCTGTAGAATTCTATGCTATGGAGCATTCCAATCCTCATTAGACAGAAGCATGGACCTAAGAATGTGGCTATATTATAATTGCTACCTTCAGAATTACAGGACCTATGAATAGGTTTCTTTTAATTTACAGACCTGGGCCCTGCAAAGCAGAGCATTGGCTTGGTGAGTTTGGAAAAAAATTAATTTCAAAATAGAAGAAAAGCAGTTAAACTAAAGCTACATCTATACTATAAATGCTACAGCAGCACTTTTTTTTTTTTGGTTTGGAGTGATGATACAGCCCTGTTTGACTCCTGTGTGAACTTTAAAAGGTTCACTCTGGGAGCCAGTGCTGCTCAGAACAGTCACTTTCATGTTATCATGAAGCAATAATAATAATAATAATATTAA